TAACAGTGGGCTTGAGCATGGCACAGGATGTGAGGACGGCACGGGAATGGGGCAGGATTTGGATCTGTTCATAGAATGGCTATGAGGTGAAGTTGTCAGAACCGACCCATAGCTGACCCTCCAGTGGGTTTTCAGAGGAAGTAGTTTATCTCACGGGTTTCTATTGCCCGTCCTTCTCCCTCAGAGCAGCCAGAGGATTTGAACTTTGTTGCCTTTGGATTGAAGTACAGCTTCCTGCCACTAGGCCACCAGGGCTCCCTTAATGATACTTAGCAGCAACAACAACAAAAAGGATTTATTAATTACATTATCTCTTAAGCCCCCATTGTGTTACTGCCTTTTCCTTATCTATGAATTACTTTGATTGAGGTAATTAATACAAGAATCTACTGAAAACAAAATAAAACTTCCTGCCATTAAGTAGGTTCAGAGTCTTGGTGACCATGCTTGTTACGCTCTTGGGCTACCCCATGCATTTTCTTGGCAGTGACCCAGGGTCAGAACCCCAGGCCTTTCTTTCCCGGAGCTGTGGGGTGGATTTGAACTGCATGCCTTTAATGCACACTGTGATTCAGAATGTCATGGAACTGGATACACTCAGTGTTCCAAGGTCAATTTCCTGCTTTTGATGTTGTATCACTGTGTGCCCTTGAGGCAATTCCAACTCATAGTGACCTTTCAGGCAGAAACTCTTAGGGTTTGAATTTCCATCCTTTCAGTTAGCAGCTGCTTAACTACTGGGCCCCCAGAGCTCCTTTATTGTACTCTTTTTTACAGTTTTATTATTTTACTATTATAAAATGCAATCATTGGGAGAAACTGGCAGAGTGGTACTGGGATTTCTGTATTTTCAAGCTTCCTGTAATCTCTGTCACACCCACACCACACTTACTGTTCCTTATCTGACAGCTTGCATATATGGCAGTAGTTAAAAATCTAAACTGGTTTGTGAATTAATGACATACCTGGAAGTAATATATTCCAAAGTGTGCAATGAGAGACCATCACTAGGTCAAGCTTGCTTGGGCCATGATGCCCCAGGGCTTGGCAGGTATGTAATGATGTAGCCATCCTCTGTCTTGTAATATGATGGGTAATCCTCCGTTTTCCCATAATACTGACTTTTATGTAATAGCCTGGCCTTAGGAACCTAATTGGGTCAGTGGGTAAGGAGTGGGTGTATTTCAAAATAATTTATTTTAAAAAACAGAACAAAACAAACCACAAAGTGCTATTGATTTCCTCTTGTATTTGGGGCCACAGAATGTGGCCGCTGCCTGCCTGCCTGCCTTTTATGCCTTCCTGCTCACCCTCTCAGCAGCCCAGCAAGCCCTGCTCGTCTGTTTTCTCCTTTTCAGGGAACATGCCCCTTCTCACTGCGTCCCTTGTTTGTTGGTTGGTTTGTCGTCCCCCCCACCCCCCACCCCGTTGTCCCTCTGGCTAGTAGTCGCCTCTTCAAGGGCTCTCCTTTTAACCTGTCAGTAGTCATGGTCGTAGGAAACAGTCTCCTGCTGCTGCATTCTGCATCATTTACACTCGGTTTGTAGGTTCCAATCACTCGTTAGAGGACTTGTTGGTCCGTCCCTTTGTTTCCTCAGTTCCAGAGGACAGGGGCCCTATGGTTATGTGTATTCATGCCTAGCTGAATCCTGGCACATTGCTTGGCACTCCTGGCACACTGCTTGGCACTTTGAACATACCTCACAAACATTCGTAATAGGAAACAAGTGTGGCAAGTCCAGTACAGCTGAAGCTGGGGTGGGGTGTGGGGTGTTAGGATGGTCAGCAAGCTGGAGAACGTGGAAACCTTTTAGGACAGAGTCTACACTGCATAGCATGTTCTCTCACCTGCTGCCCTCAAGCTTTTAGCACATTTATTTGTTCTTGGTTGATTCTTCATATGTGTGAATTGGTTCAAGAAAGTATTTTGTAAATGCAGCCCGAGAGTAGGCTGTCATCTTTTTAAATCCTTTTTTACAACAGTGTATTGTATATATGACTTCTCCTAAATGTCTACTTTATGAGCTTGTTTTGTGTACATGCAAAGTCATGGGTGCCTCACTAAGCAAGCTCGTGACAGGTGGGCTGCACCTGCCCCCGCACTCCACTCTTGTTAGGTGCTGTCGAGTTAACTGTGACTCATGTCACTTCATGAACAATACAGTGCCCTGGCCTGCACCATCCTAATGGTCTCTGTCCTGTTCAGGCCCATTGTGGTAGTCTCTGGTCAGCTCATCTCTTGAGGGTCTTTCTCTCTCTCTCTGACCCTCTACTTTTCTCAGCTTGATGTCTCTCTCCAAGGTCTGGTTCCTCCTGAAAATATGTCCAGAGCGAGATAAGTTTCACCGTCCTTGCCTCTAAGAAATGCTCTGGCTGCACTCTCTTCAGGGCAGATGTGTTGGTTGGGTTTTTAAGGGCACTCCTTGTGCTCTTCAGTACTTAGAAAACCCTCTGACTAGCACTTCGCTCTTAAGGAAGGGGCATTCTATTCTTTTCTTTAGTGTCTTTATCCTTTGAGCCAGTTCCTCTGCCCTGGCTACCTCTTCTCTGTAGTCTTCCTCAGGGCTAATCTGTCCTGTTGCAACAGTGTTGGTTTTTTGTTTGCTTTATTGTCTTTTTTGTTTAACATGTGCTGCTCTCTGATTTGTGTGTCTTAATACCAGATTCTTTCGCTTTGCTAGTATAGGGTTTCTCCCACAGAAGCAAGCGTGTAGTTTTACATAATGAGGTCCACTCAGGCTCCAGGGCAAGACTGTGTGTCTCTTTAAATTTAGGAATTAGAGCTCTAGATTTTTATCTTAAACAACCTGTGGATGTGGAGCAATGTAAGAAAAACAGGTTTTTGGTTGAGGTTGGGTACATTTTTCCTTGGAGGAGGTAGCTTTGCAATGAAGTTCACACTGTAGAGCAGAGGTGAGTGATATCTTGCTCTGTTCAGGAAGGTGGGCTCTGTAGTGAACTGGAATTTGGATTTCTCCACTCCGTCCCCCTAGCTTTGCTCCCTAGCTGTTGTGAAAAGCAAACAATTAGTGTAAGTAGTAAGGACTCCAGGCACCTAAATTGACTAAATGCATTCAGAAAGATTTGCATTTACTACAAAATGCAAGTGGGATAGTTTTCTTTTTCTTGAATTAGTAGTTACAAGTATAGAAGCTGATTGCCAAGGTAGATTATCTCTCTCCTTGTTACCATTATGTGTGCTGGACAGTCTGGGAAAAGGGCTTAGTAAGGTCAGAATTTTCTGGACTTCCTAATTGTGGGCAGCATCTCAGGAATGAAATGGGGACTTTGTCAGAGGAACAGATTGGTAGAACCACAACTGGTTTCTGGCCATGCGCATTCAGGAGTTCTCTTCACAGGGTCGCTCTGCAAGTGTGTATCTGGGATTTTTATGCCCCGGAGGGCGAAGTAAGGATGGAGTGGGGGGTCGTTGCTTCCCAGGAGAGCTTGTCTTGATGCTGGGAGATGAACACTATTGATGGTTCTCTGCTGCAGGTCTGCTGTGTGGGACTCTGTAACCTGCCTTGTGCTGGGTGAGTCCCCCACCTCTTGGACAGTGGCTGTCACCTGTGTCTCTAGTATCCACCACCTACTGAATGGACACACAGAAGGTTCTTTGTATTTCCTTCAAAGGTGCCTGGACTGTGCACTAGGATGCACACCTGCTGGGGTACTCCCAGGAAGGTGGAAAGCATGATCCCTATTCCTCTGTGGCTCAGTCAGGTCGGCTGTGGCTTCTCGTTTCTGGTCCTGACACTGCTGAAGACTCATCTCACTAGCCTGAGTTTGCTTCACCTAGTCAAGCCGTGACATGAGTCTGGGCACATTCCATCTAGCACAGGCCAAAGAAAACATTAACATGGAACAGGAGATGTGGATGTAAATCTAGATTTCACTGGAGAGCTCAGAAAGGAAGAGAATTTTTGACCCTTGGGCTTGAGCTAAGGTTTTCCATTATGGTTGTATCGGCGTTAAGAGTCTTTGCAGGCAACACAAATGAATTCCAGCTTATATGAGCAAAAAGGAGATTTATTGGAAGGATTTGGGGTAGCTCAGAGACTGGAAAGAAAAGTTGATGAGCCAGTCTTCAGGACGGATTGAGGCCAGAGCAGCCTGGGGATCTTGGTAGCAGAAACCTTGTCGGGATGAATAAGGCACCATCTGCGTCTTCCTGCTCAGAAGTCGGTGAGAGTGGGAAGCCCAGCCAGTGAGAGCACCTGGACTGACAGACTTTTCAGGGCAGACTCTGAGGAGAGGTGGTTCCCCTAAGCCTCACTGGACTGCTGGGACTCAAAGAAAGGGACAGCTGGGCATGTGGGACAGGTGGAGCTCTCAGCCCTCACACTCCCAGAACCAAATCTAGGGCCAAGAATCCTGCGGCTGCCAGAGTGGATTTGGCTCGGGGACTTTTATGGACGAGGTATAAGCTTTTCAGTGTCTTGTGTTGAAGGCTGACCCCAGTGAGCATTCTTCCATCATTAAATCACTGTTGTATAAGAACTTGTTGGGTTTTTCTGGTCAACCTGTGTCAAGGTCTTCCCCAGGGATTTCTCTGAGTCTGCCAGAGGCACCAAGGAGGTGGGTACAGTGTTCCCAATGCTCATGCAGAAGCAAGCAGTTGAAGTCCACACAGGTGGGCTTTCTTCTGCCACACATATCCTCTCTGGGGAGTGACCTTTTAGAAATTCCTAACATAGAAGAGGGTTGAGAGTTTATTGTCGAAGCTAGAGGGGCAGATCTTTGGATTGTTTGATGAGAGTGATTAGAAGGCTGCTAACCGTCAAGCCTAAGTCGATGACCAGGATTCTGTATGTGCTGACTCCGGATCTAGCACAGCCGTTAAGCAGCCCTGCATTTCAGAGCCAAGTGACCTCTGTTAATTGGCCGATGTCTCTCTCCCTGCCAGATCCCCCCTGCAGATGGTGCCACCGTCTGTGCTGCCCAGCGTGTGCCAGGCTGATCCATGGTCACTTTCCGGGATGGCTACAAGGTGACTTCAGCTGAGGATGACCCTGACTGAAAGGCTGCGTGAGAAGATATCGCGGGCCTTCTACAACCATGGGCTGCTCTGCGCATCCTACCCTATCCCCATCATCCTCTTCACAGGGCTCTGCATCTTAGCCTGCTGGTATGTTTCTGGGGTGCCCTGTGTGTCGTAGGCTTCCTAACCCTGACTACTGTGCCCAAGTTGGACTCCATGCTTATTATAACAACTATGAAGGGAACTTGAGGCAAGTTGGATGGGCCTGATGAATGGGGAGCTCTCGTCCTAGGATATTTGTCAGTGAACTTAGAACCCAGGCTGGTTCTCGCTTAGTGACTTGCCAGAGTTGTTTACATCACTGCTGATCTGTTCCAAAATAATGTTTAGTCACTTTAAGAAACCAAGAGATCACTGAAAGGTGATTTTAATTTCCCTTCACAACAGTGACAGCTTTGTTTTTCTTGGAATGCCTTTGATCTAATTACTTAATGACTTTTTTCTTTTATTGTGGGGGGGAAAGAAAAAAATAGATGCCATCTCAGTAATCTCTACATATCCAATTTAGCATCTGTGAGGGCAGTCTTCAAGTTGGGCAACCTCCCTTGCCATCCTCCTCTGGATCATTCCAGCACCTTTAGCACCTTAGCTGTGGTGCTCTCCCTCCTCCACCCGAGCACCTTCCTTTTAATGCCTGGTTAAGAGCAGGGGCCTTTGAGTGTAAGAGGGAACTTCACTTGAACAGTTCCTGGAACACACAGACCCACTTCACTGCGCCCTAGGCATTTTCTTGTATTCATGTGGAGGTTCTCTCTGATCTTTTGTGGTTTCTTGGGTGTGCTAACCGTGGACCATTGTGAAAGCTCTAGTTCATTGCCAATGAGTCACAACAACATTGCCTGACAGAGTAGAATTGCCCCTAGGATTTCTCAGCCTGTGATCTGAATTGAACCTGTGATCTGAATGGAAGCAGACTGCAGTATCTCTTTCCTGCAAAGTGGCTAGTAAGTTTGAAATGCCCGTCTTATCCTTAGCAACTGAACACTTAGCCATGACCAGGAGTCCCTTGTAAGGGCACTCTAGCACCCCTTGATGGATGTCTGTCTGTCACAGAGCCTGAAGTTAGGCTGACAGGATATTAATAAGGATTGAAATAAGATGGCATCTAATAATACTTTTGGCTCTGAAATACTGGCATCTGTGAAAAGACCACCCTATTATTATTTTCTCTAGAATAGAATTTTGTCCAGATTCCTTTTGTACCCACTATCTGTAGATCTTTTCAGTGCTTGGCGGGAAGGAAAAGGTCTCAGGATCGTTTAGAATTTTAATGCTCCCAGGTTCTTCCCTAATTAGGAATAGGGAAGGTAAGCATCATTCATTGAGAATTTCTTGGTGTGTACCGTGTTGGTGCTTCAGGTATAGAATTAAATGTCTCATAAATTGTCACAACAACTGTAGGAAACATTCTAGTTTTATTTCCTATTTATCAAAGGTGAGTGGAGGCTTAGAGCCTGCCCAGCCCACACAAGTGGTGAAGTGGGTTTTAGATCCTGGAACCTTGGCACCTGACCCTGTGGCACCTCTGACACTCTTAACTCTGCTCGCTCTGACTTGTTCTATTTGTATTGGTGTTTAAACTTTATAAAATTGTGTTGGACAAGGAAAAGAAATAATGTGTAAGTATGTTCTGTAAACAGTGGTGCTACTAAGGTAAGTGGTGACAGCCACACTCTCACATTATCTCAAGGTGACACCAAAATGACTGTGTATAAAATATTTGTGTATTGCTTCAACAGAAATTCATCTTTTTAATTAAATAAAAATTTATGCTGGTTTACTTACAAAGTTCTTATACGTTGTTTTTCACACTGGAAGAAATTGTTTTTATAAAAATGTCTTTTAAGTTAGTTAGAACAACAAAAAAAACCCCAGTTTTTTTAAGTCCAACTTAATGAATCAATGAGGCTAAAACACTTGTTTACTCCGTGAACAGTTTACTGTGCCCCAGTCAGAACTGGCATCTCTACACAGATACAGCGACGCTTAAGATCACATGCTTTTATCTGCACACTTTAGAAGCACACACTGTAGTTTTCATTGCTGTTTTAATAGGTGTTGATTTTGTCAAAATAGTCCAATATTTGTGAATCCATATTCGTGACTTTGCTGAGAATGAAATAATAATTAAAGGAAAAAGATAAAATCGTTAAAAGGCATCTACTCAATTACTAACAGTATTGTAATTAATATTTCAATGTAGAAATGTTTCATAAAACAGTTTTGTTTGTGTTCACTTAACATAAGACATACTGCCTTTAGACAGTTTACAGCTGTATATATGTTATTCTGTGATACAGATTTGATTATAAACATTATAGATCTGGTCCAGGAGGAAGTCTGTGATAGAGAATGACTCCAGCCACTTCCTGTTAAGGGTTGAGTTAGAAATGCTTTGGGAGCCCAGCTTTGCATTGGCGTGTGAGAGGAATATACCTGCATATTAGTCCTAGGTTCTGACGGAAGTGGCATGCAGCAGTGCTGCCATATTTTGCTGTCAGGACTTGACTTGTTTGTGAACACTTGTGTTAATGTTAATAAAACCTCTACTATATGAATATACATAGCTGTGTAAAGTGAAGCCAGATTTCCTTAAAAAAAGAACCCAGATTTGGATCTTTATTCCTACATGTTAATTTAATTGACTCATCTCTTTAAAAATCACCCTGACTTTGGCCTGTGCACAGAAGTAGTGGTCTCAGAACTTAGCTCACATTGGAGTCACCAGGAAGAGGACATACTAAACACTAGGTCCCCCAACCCAGATTTTCTGATTCATCAGGTCTGGGGTGGGCCCAAGGATTTGTGTATCTAACAAATTCTGAGCTGAGAACCACTGGGCTAAATCAGTCTTAAAAAATTCTATCTTGTTCTGCCATTCTCCTTCAGAAATTAGAGTAATTTCCTAATTTCTGTAGCTGCGGTTTATGGGGACACTGCTAATCATTATCGCTTTGTTGAGAGAGTTGGGACTCAGCCTACCCCTTCCCCAGTAAACTCTTCATTCCATACTAGTATATTACATTTGCTTTTTTCATGGGAAGGTGGTAAGTGTGTGACGGAGTAATCCTGTGTCTAAGCTTGTGTTCTGTGGCTGGTTTCAGTTGGAGAAGATGTGTCGTGAGTTTGTTTTCATAGACAATTCCAGTCATGGGAGAAAGAGCTGATGTTGCTTCTTTGCCAGCTGAGGTCAGGTGACTTCCTGGGTAGGGGTTGTAGGGCATGCATAGCAGCAGCTGGGGTACAGTTCTAATCTTTGAATGAGTAATTTGCTATAATACAGCATTCCAAAACATATCGTCGTGTGTGTGTGACGTGGGGACCTCTGGTGTGCAAACTTCAGGAGACGGCTGAGGTCTCCTGTAAGGAGGATGCCTCCACAAGTCAGGGTGAAGCAGGTTAGGATGGAGGGTTGGGGGTGGGCAGATGTGTTAATGCAGTATTTAGCAACCAGTGCTGCTCGAGTGTAGCCAAGCAGGGTAGAGGCCTGCCTTCACCCCACAGCTTCGCCTGGCTGAACTTCAGTCCTGAGAAAGGGACGAGTGAGGCTCGGAGCGGGAGTGGGCTGATGGGAAAGGCCGCCACGCTCATTACGGTCATGCTGAGTGATTTTTAGAAGACAGGGCAGAACTGCCCCATAGGGTTTCCAAGGCTCTCAGTCTTTACAAAAGCAGACTGCCACATCTGTCTCCCAGAAAAAGCTGGCCACATAGAGCTGCTGGTGGTTTTGGATGGCAGTCAAACATTTAGCAAGCTTCTGGTGGGAAGAAAAGACAGACGGATCTTCAGTGGCCATCAGTTACGTGGGCCCTCAGGTGCTTTCACTGATGGCATCTCACTTCTCTCCTAATACCTTGGAAATGGTTGCTGTTCCCTCCCCCTTTTAAAGATGATGAAATCAGCATGGAAAACTTGTAAAGTTACTAGTAAATTCTAGAGGAGACAGATAAAAATCAATGCTTTACCCCTCCAACCACACTGATGAACTTCCTTGAAGAGTACAGTTTGGTGCAAACTACAAACTGCAGTTCCACTGCAAAGAATGTGTTCTTTGAACAATGGAATCAAGAAGGAAGGTCCAGCTGAATGCGGTGGGGCAGGAGCAAGGCCAGGCAGGGCCAGCCAAGACAAAGAACAGACACTTTCTGAGCCCAGTGACCCTATACATCAGAAGCTGAGAAAGAGAAAGCATAAAGGTGGAGTTTGTAACCCCCTTAATAAGAGTGGATTTCGTAGCTTCCTTAGTGAAGGTGGGCTTGGTAGCCACCTTAATAAAAGTGGAGCAGCTGTACAGTATTCTAAGCACTGTGCCAGAACAGTGCTGCAGAGGTGTATGCTCCCCTCACAGGCCACGGAACGGATGCTGGGACATCATTGGACAGACGCGCAGCAGATGTGACCCCACCTGGTGTGAAGGGAAAAGATTTCAGGGAGGGTTCCTGGGAAGAAACACTGACGCCAGGTTCTGCAAGGAGAAGAGACTGCATCTGCCTCTCCTTTCTCTCTGTTCTCCCTCGCCTTCCTCGCTCTCCAGTAGTGGTCATGCAGCAGCGCCCTGGCACCCTCTGAGTACCACCTGTCCACCACTGCTTCCACCCTCTGACTGTACAGTGGTTTCCTCTTCTCTTTAAAGTCAATTGTTTTTCCTTGAAGAGCGAAGACTCGCCTGAACTAGGAAGCTCTCAATGCTGTGCTCGTATTTTCCCAAACCAGCATCTTTGTCGTATGATCGTAAAGGAAGAAAATTTTCAGAGGTGAAAAGTCATTGCCCAGCCCCCAGAGATGCTAACGGTTGTATCAGGGAATCCAGATGCTGCATCTAGGGGCATAAGGCCTTGTTGCCCTCTTCCCTTCTAAGAAACTGTTCTGTTCAGAGTAACTTCCCCTTTCACCAGTACTCCAGGAAATAGAGTGTGGTGATAGCTTGTAGCCGATTCAGTAGATGTTTAATTGCTTACATCTTATTTTTCTTGGGATGATTGCAGGACTTTGAAACTTTTGAATGGATGGAACAACCACCTGAATTACAGAAATATTTTTTTGCCTGACTTCTCACCCCTACCACTGCTGACTACCCTTAAATTGAA